GCGCCCCCTCTCCCCAGGGCCTTCCTGGCGGCCGCGCTGGCGCAGGGCCTGTGCGAGGTGCTGCTGGTGGTGAGCAAGGACGTGGAGGAGAAGGGCTCCTGGCTGCGCCCCGACTGAGCCGCCCCTCGCCACCCCAATACGGACCGACCGCAGAGAGGCCGGCCTGTGGGCCGGCCCCCCCCACCCCCCAAGCCGCTGCTGCCTCAATAAATCTGCCAATTTGCTCCGCCTGGCCCGTCTGACTGGGTGGCCCCACGGGAGGGCCGGAGGGGGCCCCGGCTCTGCCCCGCCTCCAGCAGGGAGGCACAGGGGTCCCGCAGCACGGGTGAGCAGGGGCCAGGCCTGTGGGGTCAGTCCAGGGGGAAGCAGAGGCTGCTCACACCCCCAGAAGTCACCACCCTGCTGGGGGTGTGCCCCAGAGACCTGGCCATGGGGGCTCCCCTGGTGGGTGTTGTCACAAGGGTGCTCAAAACCAGAGTGGGGCCGGGCAGGAGGGAGCGGAGCCCCAGGAGCACTAAAGGGCCCCGGACGGCAAGAGGGGACCCAGAGCCCTGCCCACAGCCCCGGGAACCACAGCTGCCATGGGAACCCCACGCCTAGAGGGGATAAATGTTGGCTGAACCACTAAGTGGGGGACCCTATGAGAACAGCTCTAGGAATCAGCGGGGTGCGACTGGCCTCACCCCCACAGGCCAGACCTGGCTGCCCAGGATAACAGGAGGCGGGGGGGGGGACCCCAGAAGGCAGAGGGGCCTGTGGAGGGCCCAGAGGGCGCGGCCTGCCCTGCCCTCAGCCCTCCCAGCTCCAGGCCAGAGGAAGGCAGCGGCTTGAGGACTCCCTTGGGGGGCTTCAGGGGTGCCCCGGGGAGCACAGTGGAAGGTGAAGGGAGCTGGGGGAGTCGCAGCTCTGAGGGGCGCCCCAGAGGGCGAGGGGCCGCTCTCCAGAGTCCGAAGCTACTCTGCGGGGCCTGGCAGGGGTCCTACTGTGGGGACCTGGGCCCAACAGAGGGGAGCAGAGGTTGCCCGCCCCTGGGGATGCAGGAGGGAGGCGGGGGGGGGGGGGCTGCGGCTGTGGCCAGGGCGGGAGCAGGGGACCTGGGCAAAGCTCCCTGTTGAAGCACCAGGCCGAAACGGGGCCACTAACACAGGGCGTCTACAGCGTGCGTGGGGAGAGGCACAGCAGCTTGAGGTGTCTCCCCAACCCAGCCACAGACAGGGCCCCACCCAGACACCCCAGAGGAGGCGGGGCGCAGATGTGGTGGGGTTATCTGTGTGCCTGCCTTGGCTTTGGCAGGTTCTGGGGCCCTGAGGTCAAAGGGCAGCTGGGAAGGGGATAAGCTCCATCGCATAGGACGGGGACCCAGTGGTTGGGGACACCCCGACTCGAGTCACCCCCCATCCTTCCAGGGCCTCCCTCCTCGGCCTGCCCTCCTAGACCGTCCTCTCCCCTCTTCTTGTCTGTCTGGGCCTCTGGCCCGGGCCTAGAGCTGTGGCCTGTCCCTGGAGACCAGACAGCCTGGCGCCCCAAGTGTTTCTATTCTGGGACTGAGTGCGCCCCCAGTACTGTTCAACTGTGGCCTAATATGGCCTGTGGGCAGGGGTATGGGAAGCGGTGGGGGCTGAG